TCTCTCTCTCTCTCTCTCTCTCTCTCTCTCTCTCTCTCTCTCTCTCTCTCTCTCTCTCTCTCTCTCTCTCTCTCTTTTTCCTTTCTTTTTTTCAGTTCTTGACCTTTCGATGCGGGAACGAGACGAGGGGAGAGGTCTGCCGGGACGGGGACGAGGATGTAATGGAGGAGGGATGAGGAGGGGTCTTGCGGGAAGCGTGATGTGGGAGGGGTGTTTGACAACGGGAGAGCAGACGGCGCTCGGCAGACAGGTGAGTGAACGGTTCATGTTGGACCACTCCCACAAACCTCTGTGTGCGTGTGTGCGTGTGTGCGTGTGTGTGTGTGTGAGTGTGTGTGTGTGTGTCATGAGTGCTTTTTTTATTTTATTTTTTTACTTTTTACCGGACAACCGGACACTGGTGCACCCAACCGAACTGTCCGGGTCCGATTGTCCGGTTACATGTCCGGTTAACCGGACGTCCGGTTTTATCCGGACACGGGTCTGGTACATGTGTCCGGTTGTCCGAATGTCCGGTTGTCCGAATGTCCAGTTGTCCGAATGTCCAGTTGTCCGAATGTCCAGTTGTCCGAATGTCCATGTCCGAGGCAACTGTGGTATATATATATCGTCAAACAGAGCTGCCCGGTAAACCGTAGGCGGAGAGGGAGAAGAGGACAACAAACGAGGGGCTGTGATAAACTGTTTCGCCGGAGTTCACCAACTCATCAGAAGGCTAAACCCTCAACAGTCTGCAGAATCCCCTAACTAATTACATTATCAGTGATCATCAACCTTAACCCCGGTTGTGGTTAAGCATCAAGGACTGCCAGACAACTGATACCCTGAGGTGGGCACCAACCACTGCCCTCAAGGTACCTGTGACGAAAATAAAAGCAGACTATCACTCACCCACACCAGATGGAAGACCCTACAGACTGTCGGTTCACACCCCATCACAAACCAGCAAAACACCCATGAAACAAAGAGTCTGTCACAGCGAGAAAATACACTCCAGACACGCCGCTGGCACTAGAGGCACAGCATGGCCGTGTAGTGACAGCCCCGACCACTGCCTCTCGACCTGGGCGGAGAAAACCGTAGCAGGGTACTAGCAAAGTCATGGCATATATGATCAAACAGAGCTGCCCAGTCAACCGCAGGCAGAGAGGGGGAAGAGGACAACAAACAAGGGGCTGTGACAATTTGACAAACTATTTCGTCGGAGTTTCACTGACTCATCAGGAGGCTGAACCCTCAACAGTTTGCAGAGTCCCCTAACTGATTACACTGTTAAGTGATAATCCACCTTAACCCCGGTCATGGTTAAGCATCAATGGCTGCCCAACAACTGATACCCTGAGGTGGACACCAACCACTCCCCTCAAGGCACGAGTTTTCAAGGTCCTAACTAGATTACTCATGGGTAATGATATCCCATGGGCGCCTCTGGCTGCCTTGCAGATAGCTGCACTTGCCCCTGAATCGGCCGCGGACTGCAACATCACCAACAGGCATTTGACGATCCCCTCTCCCCCACAAAACAGACAAGCCAACGACGTGCGGCAAGCAGCCAGACTGGAGTTGATCCACGACCCTCTCTGGGCCAATATGCTCAAACTCTGGAGCACGTGTGGTCCGCAGCAGACCCCCCAATAGCTGGCAAGAAATCTAGAGGCAGCCGTTGTTTGGCAACCCCTACATCTTGGACGAGGAGGGTGGCCCCTTCACGCTCACCACAAACTCCCCCTGGCTAACATGGGCAAAAAGAGGGATATTTACGGTGGGGGACCTGTGCGACCCGGCAGCAGCAGATTGGGCCACAGTGAAGCAGCTCCAAAGGAGCCTAAAATATGCAAAGAATGTGGGGGAAAAGGCGTTCAAACTCAGGGAGGCGTTGCGTCTAGCCTGGAGGTTCACCAATGCTGGCAGACGTTTCCTGATTCTCTCCAAAAAATTCTGTATATGGGACGCTGGACCCGTTTTTCAGCAGGTGATGCTCCCCACCAATAGATGGAGCCTCTCCCCAGGTGCTAGTGGTGTTTGCTCTTATCAGCACCATTAACACAGGTGGGGGCGTTTTCGAAAAAAAAAAAAAAAAAACAGGGCTAAGCCGACAACCGGCCGGTCGGACCGGGCCGGTCCCAACCGGGCCGGTTGGACCCCCGGTGGTCCAACCGGAATTCCGGTTGGGCCCAAAAATGGGTCAATTTTTTATTTTTTTATTTTTTTTTGAAATCATGGTTGGACTGCGCTCCCCCAATCCGCAAAGAAAACTTTGATCAGAGAAGTTTTTTTCGGGGGGAGGGGGGGTTCAGGGGTTTGGGGTCGCGGCTTGGGGGGGGGTTGTGGTGGGTGTCATTCCAACAAACACGGGCGTTGGCAACAACGTATCTGGCTTTCTGGCAGTTTCTGCAAATGTTGACAGAAGCGTACCTGCAGAAGAAGAAAAAGAAGAGGAAGACAAACACGATGCAGAACAAGAAGAAAAAGAAAATAGTGAAACCAAAAGTAAAAGACGACAAAGTCTGGAGTCTGAAGACTCTGAACTTGTTTGTAGATCATCGTTCTGTGTCACAAAATCTGGACTCTCTCTCTCTCTCTCTCTCTCTCTCTCTCTCTCTCTCTCTCTCTCTCTCTCTCTCTCTCTCTCTCTCTCTCTCTCTCTCAGCGTCGTCAATCAGACTCGCATGGGCTGCACTCGTCATCGGAGTGCGGGCCACTGCCATCGGTATCTGGGTCATCGTCACTAACGACGACCTTCTTGCGAGGCTGTGTCTTGCGCCGTCCGTCGCGTTTAGGGGATTTTCCAGCTGTTTTTTTCTTTGGGGGTCTTCCGAGGCCGCATCGGGGCGCTGTTCCGGAATCCTCCACGTGGACCTTCCGCTTCCTGCCTGCTCTGCTCTTCCACAAGTTGTCATGCTGCACAGCCTCGTTCTGTGCAGGGAACGCGGGTGTGCCCATTTCCTCAGCAGCCTGCTGCTGCTCCGGGCGGTCCTCCGGGTGGTCACTCATTGCGGCCTGCTCGCTGTTTTTTTGTTCCTCCGCTCCCGTTTCCTGGTCCTGATGTGGGCGGGGCCTGCGCACGTAAACCAAACCCCGCACTGGCTGCTCTTTCCCTGCCTCCGAAGCCGCCTCCTGCTGTTGCCGGGTCCTCTCCATCGCTGGCTCGGTAACCCCCATCCCCTGCTGCGCTCGTGATTCATCCGCCGGTTGTCCTTCCTCCCCACGCTGTTGTGCCACATTCTCTTTTTTGTGTGTTGCAATGTTCTCCCCGTCCTCCATGTCCACCTCGTTCGCCGGTTCATCGGTGTGATTGTTTTGTTGCGCAGCGTTTCTCTCCCTCTCCCTGCGAGTAGGGAGTGCAGCACGACGGGCCTCCTCTGCACGCATTCGCTGCTCCACAAGGTCTGCATCCCGGTCTGCCATTGCCTTCGCACGTGCAGCCTCCTCCTCGTCCAGATCGTCGTGGGGGTGCAACAGAAACTCGACATCCGTGTCCACCCTATCGACAACAGGCATCGGCTCCACCTCAAACTCTCTCTCGCGTTGCCGCCTACGCCTGCCGACATATGTGGTCGCCGGGACAGTTGGAGCCTCATGAAGCTCGAAGTCAGAGTCCCCTCCCTCCTCCTTGCTGCAGTCCTCCGATGAGGACTCGTTCCAACACTTGCCCTTCCACACGAGGTCCTCGAGGTTGCTGCTGCCTCTGGAGTCTGAGTCTGATTGAAAAAGGTCCTTGGGAATTCTCCCTCTTGGAGCCTTCGCCATATTCCTTTGCCTCCTCTCCTCCTCTTCTTTCTCTACGGCATCCTCAACAGTCGCCGGCAACAGGGATCCATCATTCTTCTCTGGCTCCATCAACGGCTCAAAGTAGGAACCCCACACATCAACATACCCGCTGTCTTTGTGGCTTCGAGCACGCAGCAACTGCATGTTCCAATGAATGTAGACTAACTTCTCGAGGGACTCCGGGGACAGGCTGTTCCGTCTCTTGGAGTGGACGAAGTCCATGGACGCCCAGTTGCGCTCGGCAAGGGTGGCAGTGCTCCACATGCCCATGACCTTCACTGCAATTTTCTGAAGGTCCGGAACGTCCCCGCCGTGTGCTGCCCACCAGTCCGCCGGGGCCAACCTTGAAGCGCCGTCCTTCGCAACCCTTTTCCACATGTGCTCATCCTTGCGCTTCTTGGGGGCTTTCCCGGGCTCCAAGTTACTGGGCGCTTGCCTCGTGCGCTCCTTGTGGAACTCCATCAGCTCCGCCCAGATGTTTGAATGTGCCTGGCTGTTCCACTCGCCCCCGACCTGCCTCAACAAAAAGCTCATTGCATTCTGCACCAGCGCATTGTCCTGATCGAAGAGCCAACGTGGATTTCTCCGCTGGGGGTCGAGAAGGAATGCAGCTGCATGGACCGGCTGCCTCATCATCTGCATGCGGTCCCGCACCTTCTCCATCACATCCTCCCGCTCCTTCTTTGTGAGCACAACATTTGTCAGCTTCCTAGCGATGAGCTCGTCGTACTCCACAAGATTTGTTGGAGAGGTGCCTTCCGCGTCCATCCTCTTCACCTCTGGCCACGAAGACTCAGACCTGACAGTGTAGTAGACAAGGTCTACCTTTTTGCGCAACTTTTCCCCTGACCATCTCAATGATCTCCACTTTGCAGCCTCTCTCCCGTCGACCATCACTGTCAAGACATCCTCTCTGTCCTCCAAGCGTTGCAGCATCATGTACACGGATCCAAAGCGGACCTCAGTGGGACGAAGCAGGGACTTTGTGTCATCAATGGACATCATCAATCCGTTGGTGGCATGATGATTCCTGATGAACTTCACGATCGTGTTCGCAGTCTTCACGGTGCCCTTGATCCACGACAGGTTGGCCAAGTCCTTCAGCAGGAGACTGCAACAGTGTGCCCCGCAAGGAACCCAAGGAATCCTGGCCACATCCTTGTCCTTGCGTCTTTCCAGGATTTGGGCCGCCTTCTTGTTCACCTCCGCGTCGTCGGTGCAGATGGCGTTGATGCGCTCCAAGCCTATCTCCCTCACACCTGCTCCCACAACCTCGCCAATGCTGCTGCATTCTTCTTCCTCCCCGTCACTGTCACTGTCGCCACAAGGACCGCCCCCTACTCACCGGCCGCCAAGAAGTTCATCACTGGCCGATTCCTGCGGTCGGTTGAGCCGTCACTGATGAAAGTGCATCCGAACGTGTCCCAACATTTTGTCAACGAAAGCACCTCTTTCTGGATCTTCAGATAGATGACATCCACCATGACTGTCCTCATGTGATTGAACGACGGCAGCTTCACCTTCAGCCTCGCGCTCACCACCTCCAAGTACACAGCATGTAACGCTTGCGTCGTGTCCATATTCAGGAAATTGAATGCGATCCCAGCCCTGAACATGGCCTCCGCCCATGCGATGTCCAATCTTTTTTGCGCCTCGTTGTCCACCCACCGCCGTACAGTGGTCTCTCGGCTGGCGACCACTCGTGCTGTCGACCCTTGACCTTCATCACTAAGTCCACCCACCACTGCACCATCCCCTCCCCTCGCCTGGCCGAGCGCGGCAGCAGCCAGGTTCACACTGTCGGCGACAGACCGGCCAGCAACAACCGGCGGTCGGGGCTCATTTGTCTGGGGGTCATCACAGCCTTCTCCTCCGGCAGGGCCATCCTCCCGAAGCACTTCTGATTCAGCACCACTTCCTTTGTAATTCTTCAGCAAGTACTTCGTGTTCTTGTCATTCGCGTGGACCTTCGCGCCGGCAGCGACCAAAGTGTGAACTATCTCCCCGGTCCGCATTGCGCACGGCTTCATCACCTTCAGAAAATGTTCGACAGCCTTGCTGGCCGATCCCCTGAAGATTGTGCCGCACAACCTGCACCTGACCCAGTACTCCCCTCGCCCTTTGGAAGTAGCAACCTCCTGCCCCTGCTCACACCACTTCCAAACAGTGTTCTTCAACCGCAGTTTGGCATGTTCCGCCTCACCCCGGCCCTCGAACAAGTCTGGGTCGGTTCCTGGTGTAGGCTCCTTCCCACTAGCACTGGCACTGCTCACCGTCGACTTCGTCCTCTGCGTACTCGGTCCAGGCGTGTCGCAAGACGGCTGTACAGGTCCTTTCATCTTCTCCGCTGCAGTTGCTGGTCGCCGACCATCCCCTTCAGCACGGCCCCCCGTCATGGCCACCGGTGCCAAGGAGAAGAAGAAGAAGAACACGAAGAAGAAGAAGAAGAAGAAGAAGAAGAAGAAGAAGAAGAAGAAGAAGAAGATGAAAAAAAAAAGGCCGAGGTGGGAGGAGGGGAGAGGTAGAAGAATCAGACAAAGAGAAGTTCTCTCTCTCTCTTTCTCTCTCTCTCTCTCTC